ATTCCTCAGTACCACATAAGCAGAAAAAGCCAGAAGTGATGCTGTGGCTCAAGTGGTAGAGTGCTAACCTTGAGTTGAAGGGCTGAGGGACAGTGCTAATGCTCAGAGTTCAGGCACCACAACCGGCAAAAAAAAAAAAAGAAAGAAAAGAAAAAGAAAGAAAGAAAGAGATCCTGTGAAGCAAAGTTAATCTTTTTATCTAGTCATAAAAATTTGAGACTGATAGTATTTAAATCATTCCAGGTCATTTTTTCCCCAAAGACCTTTGGACAAACTATGATACCCAAGCTGTTCTTGGTGTTATAGTTTATCTAGCTGTTTTGTGTTATAAAAGCATTCTAACCACATGAACCAATAAACAAGACACTAAATCGAAAACAAAATCATCCATTCTTCAACTGCCTTAACTGCCAGTGTTTTGATGCATTTTTTCCTCCAAGTTTAAAGAATGTTTTTAAAATCTAGTCATTATAGAGTAAAAAAAAAAAAGAAGAAACACAATTTGTTTGATTTTTTTTTTCATGTGATAAGCATTTTTCTGTGTCACCCATCAGTCCCCCTGATGGGAGGATTGGATAAGCAGCCAGTTTTCTGAAGAGTAAAAGAAAAGTGTTGGAAAGGAATGGCTTTGCTGCTCTGATACATTTCTGGAAGCCAACTCCAACCAGCCCTCTCCTTGCTCTTGTTTCCTTTCATCACTGTTGGCAAGGAAAATGTAGCTTATCTATCATAATTATTTAATTTTATAATATATTTGTATATAATTTTACAATTATAAAATGAACATATATTAAGGAATAAAGAATTATAAAGGGGGATTTTATAAATACAATTATATATATATATAACATATATATATAAGTGTATATAATTTTACATATAAATATGCAAATATAAATCTGGATGTGTCTCTTCTCTGCTTGCAGATCTTGTTGCTGAAAATAGCCAGCAAGACTCAGGGATAGATTTGCATCCTTGGAAACTTCAGGGTAAACTGGGAGTGTTGGTTCCCACCAGAGGGGAAGGCAGGTGAATGCATGTACAGCAGTCACAATCAGTCACTGAAAGGGGCTGAAGGGCTAGAACGTGTCTGACTCTCAGGGTGTGGGTAACCACCCTCTCTTGGCTCCTCACAAGAACTGCATCCTGGCATGTATAACCCTCTTATTCAGCCTAGAGGTCTACAACTGCTATATTTCCTTAGAGACCTTGTGGGAGTGGATGTGGTGTTTTTATATTAGATGCTGTCTGTCTTAAATGACAGCTCTGAAATCACTGCTTGATCTCTGTAGTAGTCCATGCACTCAAACAAACAGAACCAATACAACCAATATTACAATTATAAAATGAACATATAGATATAGTGTTTTATATATAATTATAAAGGATAAATAATTATAAATGGGGATTTTATAAATATAAAAATGGATCCATTCAGCTGGCTTAGTCAGTCGAGGCTTGGATAGTCCCAGAGAACTGGGAAAACTACTCTAAGAAGCTGGGAGCCTCAGAACAAGGGGCACCAATGATATAATCCCTGTTGGGGACTGATGGCCTGGAAGCCCTCTGGATGAAGAATCCGTAGTCTGATGTTCATGTATGATGGGCAACAACACAAACGACAGGAAGGCTGGAACCTGCCAACTCAGGAGAGTCCCTTTACTCCCATCTTTAGCTGCTAAATGCTAATGGGCAGTGCCACTCCTGGTCAGGATCAGTCTTCCCTACTCAGTTCATAGACCCACAAGCCCATTATCTCTAGAAACAACTTCATAAATGCAATCAGAAGTGTTCTTTCCTACTCTTTGCTTCCAGTCAAGTTGACAACCAAGATTCTCATCACAGTTATTAATCTGCTTTCTTATTCATGACATTTGATTTGTGTGGCCTTTACAAGTTAAAAATGTTAGTCGTCCTTGACACTGCGATTGGTGGCATGTACCTGTAATCCTAGCCATGAGGAAACAGAGTCAGGAGGATTCTGCTCTAGGGCCAGCAGTTTGAGACTCTACCTAAAACAGACTAAGTGGTAGATTGCCTACCTAGTAAATTCAAGGCCCTAAATTCAAACAGCATCACAAAAACACAGAAGTTTACTTTTCAAAGGAAAGTTTCTTATTTGTCCCTAGCCCCACCCCTCCTTTCTACCAAGTAAGCTTTGTACTTACCATGATCACGTAGGACCTTTCTCCAGACTTTTTCAGTTCCCTTTTCCATGGAGCTGATGATCTTTTCTTTGATGAATTTTAACAAGGAAAACAGCTCAGGGATAGGTTTTGTTTCAATCAGGTTCAATGAACATGAAATATAACACTACACATAAAAGCTTGTGTTGACTGTGACCTATGACTTTTGCTATTGTCTCTTAAAAAATGAAAACAAACTCATTGATTTTGAAATATTACAATATTAAAGGTAGTTCCAGGGGACCTTTTGGAGAGCTTATACAAGTTTTATATAGTGGCCATAGAGAGCAAACATGCTCTCATGAGTTTGCTAATAAGCATCTTTCATTGAATTCTAGAAGAATTACTTTATCTGTGATTATCATTGTTAATCAGCCATAATCCAGTCTTCCTAGAATGGCGAAGTACTTAAGCTGTTTTCCCTGGTTCCCATCAAATGTAATTGTTTCCATATTATTGGCCAAAATAGCTGTAGGTGTTTTGCATAGGCCATATGTACTCAAGGTCTTTGAGGGCCTTTTTGTATAAACAATGCAAATATTTTATTGTGTAGCTGAGCTGGATCTATTTGGAGAGGTTTTAAACCTAGGAAGCTTTTCCCTTTATGATTTTGCACAGGAGAATGGGGGTGGATGGTGGCCGAGCAACATGAAAGGCTCTGCAGTGGAGGCCCAGGCTCTCTCATCTTGGTCTGAATCCTGTTCCACCACTGCCTCAGGATTTCAAGTGTGTAAAAGTCCCAGGGTTTCTTAATTATGTTTAAGGAGGCAGCAGCATGAAGGCAGAGGTGGAATCGCATGCAGGGAAACATCTGATATTCAATGTGAAGATCTCCACTTGGGCCAAACTGGATGTGTCTCCAAATAGACCAGATGTTGCATAAGGTGGAGGAAAATCTTTGTTTGATAAAGTGACAAGACTATGATCATTAAGATCATGTTTGTGTAACATATAATAATGCAACATAATTTTTTATGAAAATAGTATAAGCATAATAAACAAAGGAGTCTATGACTCAGATGTCCATCGTAAATGAATCAACCTTGTTTTATCAGATTTATCATCCCATGTAGGAGATTCACATCCCTATGTTACAAGATAATTGTGGTATAGCTTATTTGAATTTCAGCATTCATACTTGCCAGTATGTGATGGTAACTTCCCTCATCTTATGGTTCAATTAAATATTGTAAATGGTTCTACAATAAAATTCCTGCATTGTGGTGAGTTAGCCCACCAAATGCAGGTCTCTTAGTTGATATCTGAGTTCTTGGTTATGAGGCTCAATAAATTGTATTGTATAAATTTTACTTATGTATTCAGATTTATTTTCATAGACTGTGCTCCACAATTTGGGATTTCTGGGACAATCTAAATGTTTTTAAAACTTTGACCCAATTTGAAAATTGAGGAAGAAAGAGAACAGTTACCTCACTTCAACATTCTTCACCTGTGATATCCATCATTTTAGCAGGAAAGATTGCATTCTAGAAAGAAAGGATGTTTCTCATTGTTGACAAGTAGCAACCCTATTTAAGAAAAGGAAGTCTTGGGAGCAGTGTGGCAGGCATAACTGCCTCCAACAAGTCCCAGACTTGAGACATCTGAGTATCTTTCTGGCACAAAAAAGTTATAATTGTTGCAGAGCTCAGTGTAGTGTGACAGAGCAATATGGATTAGTAACACCTGAGTGAAAACTGAATTTGCCAGCTTCTGTAGTGCCTGCATACAAAGATAATGAAATGCAAGTGCTATAACATCCTACAGTATAGTTTTAGTTTTTCCAAATTATATCCACAGTCCTCTGAGTAAGACAACCAAGAGATTATCTATCTATCTATCTATTGATATAGAAAAAGAAAGATTATATGTGACATATATCATATACATCATATATATGATTATGTGTATACATAATATGCATGTACATAATATATGTGATATTATATGAATATATAGATATATTCACATAATCTTATAAAAGCCTAAACTTTTTTTGGGGTCGGTTGTGGGGCCTGAACTCTGGGCCTAGGCGCTGTCCCTTAGCTCTTCAGCTCAATACTAGTGCTATGCCACTTGAGCCACAGTGCTACTTCTGGCTTTTTTCTGTTTATGTGGTGCTGAGGAATTGAACCCAGGGCCTCATTCATGCAAGGCAAGCACTCTACCACTGAGCCACCTTCCCAGCCCCAAAGCCTACACTTTTTAATTATATTTAAGTCTTTTAAGAATACTGCATCATGACAGCAGAGAAACATGCAGTAAGATATTCAATGTCCAGTTTGAAGATTCAAATAAATGGTCTTCATGTAGGCCAATCAGACCCTCCAAAAGAGTGAAAGTTTGGATGGAGTTGAAGAATACCTCTCTGTTGTTTATTTACAATCAAGAAAGACCTTTCTTGTAGATTACTAGGGAGAATTAAACTTTTGTAAAAATGCATTAGTTGAGACAGAGGCTGGAATTATTTCAAGTTGTTCTGATAGGTGGTATGTGGAAGGAAATTATTTTTTGGTCTGAGGTGGCATCTTGGAGCATTGAATCAGAGAAGTCTAGTGCCTTCTCTCTCATTTCCATATGTAAGATTTTTTTTCTTGCTTCAGCTTCTAAATGTTTTGTTTCAGGTTCTGATATACAATGGACAACTGGACATCATAGTAGGGGCCTCCCTCACAGAACGTTCCCTGATGGCCATGAACTGGAAAGGATCCAAGAAATACAATAATGTAGAAAGAAAAGTTTGGAAGATCTTTCAATCGGATAATGAAGTGGCTGGATACGTTCGTGAAGTGGATGACTTTTATCAGGTATGCAAGGTCCTGGAGATGCGATAGACAAACTAAAAATAAAGCCTAGGTAAAGTTAAGTCATATACCATCTATCTATGTGTCCCTACAGCTCTACTTGCAGCAAAGAAGAATGGTATGAAGGGCTGGGAAGGTGGCTCAGTTCTAGAGTGTTTGCTTTGTATACATGAGGCCCTGATTCGATTCCTCAACACCACATAAGCAGAAAAAAGCCAGAAGTGGTGCTGTGGCTTAAGTGGCAAAGCGCTAGCCTTGAGCTGAAGAGCTGAGGGACAGTGCCCAGGCCCAGAGTTCAGGTCCCAGGACCGACAAAAAGAAATACATTAAATAAAAGAATGGTCTGAGGTATTGAAATCCAGAGGCTTTGATGCCAAAGCAAACAGTTTAGGCATTGTTCAAGAACTATGAAGACAATGACAAAAGCAATCGTTAGCCAAATGTGGCAAATCATTCATGAGAAAATTCTGCCCTATTGGGAACCAATAGGGTATTGACAAATTACTAGAGGAAAATGTAATCTCTGGCAAATCCTTGGCCATATTTATGTGACTATAAGTGTCCTAGGACAGAATCACTTTCTCTGATACCCCTACACTTAACTCCACTCAGAATACACATTATTCGTGTAATTTTCCTTTCCAGTAATATCATTTTAAAGTTTTGGAATCAGGGATATGCTTGCTTATTAAGCAATCTGGGAAATGCCCATTCTTTCTAGTCTTCTTTTAGAAGTGTTAGAAGACTTAATTAGGGAAGTCATCTAGGCTTGAAGAGTTTGTGAAGGAAAATTTTGAATTACAGATTCAGTTTCTGCAATAGGTAAAAGGAAATAAAAGGAGATTAATGAACAGGTTCTGGAGACTTACACCTGTCATCCTAGCTGTTCAGGAGGGTGAGATCTGCCAGCCTGGGCAGGGAAGTCAATGAGACTTATCTGCAATTAACAAGCAAAAAGACAGAAGTAGTGCTATGGGCCTCATGACAGAGTGCCAGCCTTGAGTAAAAGAGCACTAAGGAATAGCACCCAGGCCCTGAATTCAAGCCAAACTAACCAGCACAAAGAAAAAAAACATAAGAGAGATTAATTTCCTTTTCTGTTTCTTCTTGTATCAGTTTTGGTAGGCTGTATTATTTTTTGGAATTTAAGTCATCTAATTTTTAAATTCATGGGTATAAAGGTACTTTGTAGCATCATCTTTCCATCATTTAATTTCTACTAAGATCATTAGTAACTTTAGTAATTTGTGACATTAGTAATTTGTTCATCTCTTGTTCAACATATAGAAAAGGTATTACATTTTTAAAGAACTCTGCCTTTGTTAATTATCTCTATTGTATACTTTGCTCTCCTGTTTTTATCAATTTGTACTTATTCTATTATCTCCTTTTGATTATTTTCCTTCTGTGTGATATAACATTCTTTTTAAAAGGCCTCCTAAGATGGGCACTTAGAATATGAATTTTTAGCCTATCTTAATCTCTAACATTTGCATTCTCTATAATGTATTTGTTATGGCTGGCATGACATGTGTCCTAAAACCTGTCATTGCTTTATTATGATTTAGTTTAAAGCATTCATAATTTCCATTTTCACTCCCATTTTAAAGTGTAAAGTGTATTGCTTAATCTCAAATCAATTTTGTTCTTCTATTAATACATTTGTTTGGAACATGTGGAAACATACTCTATTAGAGTGTTGCAGTTGAAAAAAATCTTTTTAGTTTCAACCACCTGAAACTTGTTGAAATTTATTTTATGTAAATGCTATTTTTATATATTATAGTGTATATATATATACTGTACTTATTGGTTATAATGCTTTATACATCAATTAAGACAGATTTAAAGAGCTTTATTTTTAAATTGTTTATGACCTTTCTTTTCTCTTTTTCTGCTTTTCCTAGTAGTTAAAAAAAGAGGTCTGATAAAACTTACCACAATACTTGAAGAATTTTCTATTTTTTTACTTTATTTAAAAAAATGAACCCTCTTAACTGCATACAACTACATACATGTTATACATTCATAGTATTGTCATTTTAATTTTTCCTATCATGAAGTCTACCTCATTGATAGAAATGTAACTGTAGAAAAAAAGTGTAACTTTTCATTTGAAATTATATATGTAATACAGTTTCTCAACTTTTTCTTTTTAATCTTTTTAATACTTAATATTTATCTTTTTAAAAGTGTGTGCATATAATATTTTAATGGATCATGACAATATTTCAGAATGGAGTAGTTTATATTTAATATAATTACTGATTATTTTTAAATCTACTATTTTAGTATGTGTTTTCTATTTTCTCCATGTGTTCTTTTGCATGACTCATAATTTTATCTTTTCATATTTTTCATCTACAAGCTTGTTACAAGCTATAGGTTCTTTTAATCTTGTTTAAGAACAATACTGGTGCACAATGCAAATTCTAGACTTGCTTAATCCACATATAAGTGAGAATTTTACTGCTTTCCAGACAAAGGCAGAAACCATGAAACATTTTATCTTCCTTACCTATTCTACTGCTTTCTGTATGACTAAAAAAAATTGACATCTAAGTTCAATACAGTAAGACATTAAATACAGCCTTTGATATTGAGCATCACTCATACTTTGGCTCTCAGCTGTCCCTTGATCTTTCTTATATTTCTTACCTAAAATAAAGTTCTTTAATATTTACTCTAGAGATGTTATATTGACAACAAGTATTCCACTTCTGCCTTAATTTTTTTCTGTTTTCTTTAACTGCTAAAGATATTTCCCATGTAATGGGACTTTAGCTTGGCAGGTATTTTCTTTAGCACATTGGAGACTGTACTCTGCTGCTCTTGCACACCCTTTCTGATGAGAAGCCAGAGATTAGTTTTATTGCTGTTTCTTTGAAGGTGGGGTTGTTTAGAATTTTTTCTCCCTGTCTGTTTTAATATTTTCTTGTTTTGGTTTTCCAAAATTGTTACTGTTTGTACTTATAACTCATGATTATATGTATCTAACCTGCTTGGATTGCTTGAGCTATTTGAAACTATAGCTTAAAGCCTTCTGTCATCTTTTGGAACATTCGCAAGCATTATCTCTTTAAATATTGTTCAGACCCATGTTCATATTGTTCATCCCTCTTTCTTTCTAAGACTGTTTTCAGGAATTTCATGTCACTCTGTTTCTACCTTTTCTCTCCATGGATCAGTGTTGATTTTTTAATTTATATTTTATTCTTATTGTCAAGGTGATGTACATAGGGATTACAGTTACTTAAGTAAGGTAGTAAGTACATTTCTTGTCAAACTCGTTACCCCCTCCCTCATTTTTATCCCACTTTCCCTCCCTCCCCAATCCTTCTCCCCAAAATTGTACAAGGCCATACTAATGCTACCAGCACAAGTGTTTATCACAGCATTATTTCCCATAGCTAAGATATGGAATAAACCCAGATGCCCTTCAGTAGGTGAATGGATCAAGAAAATGTAACACACACACACACACACACACACACACACACACATACATGAATTCTATGTTTCCATCAGAAAGAATGACACTGCCCCATTTGTTAGGAAATGGAAGAACTTGGAAAAAAATCATATTAAGCAAAGTAAGCCAGACCCAAAGAAACATAGGTCCCATGGTTTCCCTTATTTGTAATAAATAGTACACATCTAGGATAATCTTAGCAGATGAGCAGAATAGCTCAATAGCTATATGCATATGATCATATAAGATGATGCTAAGTGAAATGAACTCCAACACAGGGACACTAGAGGTTTTTCATTGTTGTGGTAGTTATTTTTAGTGTTGTATTTTTACTGACCTTTTTTTTAGTTCTCTATTCTTCTCTACTCCTATTTCTAACTCTTTGTTCATTTTGTAAATCTCACTTATTCTACCTGGCATGAAGTGAATTTTGTCCCTCTTCCCAGGATCCTATCACCCTACTCCATTCACAGTGACATGCAAAGATAGGGCTGATGGATTACAAATGAGTTAAATGAGATCACAATTTCATGTCTACTGTCCTTCTCAGGACAGACACCAGACAGCTTGCTCCTTGTGCTATCTCCCATGTTGGCCACCATTTTGTTCTTAGACCTCCTAGCTTGAGAACTGTAAGAAATATGCTCCTTTGATTTGTTCAAGCTACCAGTGTATGGAATCTGCAGAGAACTGTTGAGCAAATTCAAAATGTGAATATCCTTAATGCATTACTGAACTCATAGTAAACTTTGCTATTTGAATTTTTACTACTGAAGCCCTGAATTGCTTACAAGAATATATATATATATATATATATATATATACATATATATATGTCATAGATAGGTAGGTAGACAGACAGGTAGATAGATAGATAGATAGATCAATA